CCTCCTCCTCCTTTTCTTCTTTTGTAGAGGGGATTATACACAGGGATGGTTTATCTGTTAGTTGCATCCCCAAAAATTAAAAATTAAAAAAATTTTTTTTGTAGATGGATACAATACCTTTATAGTATTTTTTTTTTTAGATGTGGTACTGAGGATCGCCATCAGTACCTCACACATGCTAGGCAAGCACTCTACCACAACCCCTGACACACACTTTTTAATTTTTATTTTGAGACAGGGTCTTGGCAGGTGGAGGGTGACCTGGAACTGGCAATTCCATCTGCCTCAACCTACTGAGTGGCTGGGACTATTGGTATGTGCCAGTACAACAAGGAGAGTTTTACCAGCCTCACTGTCTAGGTGGGAAAAGTGAGCTGCTGGGCAGGCAGAGGAACAAGTGGTCCCTCATGGCAAGGACTAGATGGTTTCCTTGAATCCCTCCACTTCTGCTCCTTTCACCAGGAAAGGCCTCAGTTTCCTTACATCCATCGGTTTGTTCAGACATCCTCTGCTGCTCAGCCATGGTGTTGGCCGTTTGCTGGGGCAGTTGGTCAGGTGGCTGGACAAGTCTCCAGTCATCATATGTGCTGGCATAAACAAGCAGAAAGGTGGCTTGTAGGGGCGCAGTTCTGGGGGCCAGTTCTGAACAAAGAAACATCTACACAGTTCTGGGAGCCATTTTTGACCAATTAAACATCTACACAGCCTGTACGATTTGACATTTAGTCTCAGGTTCAGACTTGCCATCTCTTTGTTCAGTGTGGTCAGCTCATGTGTGAGGTTGTCAGCTGCTTCTGTAACAGCATGTTGTCTGCTGGCACACCCAACCCCAGAAGGCTGACCCTCCTTCCCTTCTGTGGCTGCCACAAGCTGGCTGACCCTGCAAAGCGATCATCTGAGCGCTCACTGATTCTAAGTCTGACTGAATATCAAGCTGCACTTAGAAACTTTTACTTGTTTAACTTTTTATTTTAGAGAAAATGCCAAGATATAAACAAAGTAGGGAGAAGGGCATGGAGTGTAGTAGAAGAGGTTGAGTGCATGTCTAGCATGCACATGGTTCTGGGTTCAATGCCTGATACTGCAAAATATAAAAATAAAAATAGCTGGGTTGGGTGTGAATCCCAGCGACTTGGGAGACTGAGGCAGGAGGATCATGAATTCAAACTCAGCCTCAGCAACTAGCGAGGCCCTAAACAACTCAGTGAGATCCTGACTCTAAATAAAATACAAGAAAAGACTGGGGATGTGGCTTGGTAGTTAAGGACATTTGAGTTCAATCCCTGGTTCCAAAAATAATAATAATAATAATAATAAGGGGCTGGGGATGTGGCTCAAGCGGTAGCGCGCTCGCCTGGCACGCGTGCGGCCGGGGTTCGATCCTCAGCACCACATACCAACAAAGATGTTGTGTCCGCCGAGAACTAAACAATAAAACATTAAAAATCCTCTCTCTCTCACTCTCTTAAAAAATAAATAAATAAGTGAAATAAAGATATTAAAAAGAAATTGTGTTTTAAAAAAAAAAGAAAAATCATCATGTTATTGTCCTTAGAGTTTTTTTTTCAGGTTTTGAGTTTGCTGATTGCATCCCATGGTGTCATTGAACATGTTCCTCTATTCCTTATTTTTCCTGCAAACTGGTAGTTATGAGGAGATTGAGACAGGGACTGGCTGGCCTCCAAATGATGGGCTGCTGATGTGGGCAGGCCTGGGACACAGTCCAAACCTTGTGCTGTTCCTTCTCTGTTGACTGCCCCCAACAGTTGAGCAGCACCAACTGTCTCCTTAACTGCTGAGACAGACATTCCACTGGTAACAGCCAGCACCTTACTGCCAAGGCTCACACAGCCAGAGTGATCTTTTTGGCATCTGCATCAGATTTCTTCACTACCCTGTTCAAATCTATCCTATGACTTCCCCCTTCCCCCTTCACATCTAAAACAAAATCTATACTCCTCATATTGCTGATGTGGCCCACTGGGGTCTCACTCTCATGTACTTCTCCAACTACATCTTTCCTTGCTGGTCACATTAGCCTTTCTCCTGCTTCTTAAGTAGCTCAGTCTCATTTCTACCTCAGGGTCTTTTCCTGTGCTCTTTGGTCTAGGAATGGTCTCTCTTCAGTCCTCATATCAGTCTATTGCTTCCCTCCCTGATGAAATGCCCTGACTTTGAAGGGTCCTTCTGTGACTTTTTTGTATAATGTAGTATTCATCACTCTATGCTTTCGTTTTCCTTTATAGTAATTTTAAAAAAATTGTTTAATGTTGGGGATGAAATGCAGGACTCTGCCCACACTAGGCAAGCACTCTATCACTGAGCTACAACCCAAGTCTCTGAAATCATATTGTATCCTTGTCTCATCCTTTGTTGGTGGGGGTCTTGATGAGAGGAACTTGGATCATCTCACTAATATGTTCCAAGCAGCTAGCACAGTGCCTGCGATGTAACAGGTTCTCAATAAACACTTGTTGAATGATGGAACAGCCAGATGAGTGGATGTAGATGGACCTGCATCTTCTCATTCCTGCCCCTCTCACACTCACATACACCACATACACACAGAAGCACTCATCAGGGTTTTTATTTGGCTCTGGGAATGGAACCCCATTAGCCTCATGCATGCTACAGCTCGTGCTCTACCACAGAGCTACATCCTCAGCCCAAGGCTCTCATTTCTTGATGAACTGACCTGGTTCCTGATCCAGTTCACCTAGGCATCATTGCAGATGTTACCAGTTGGAAACTGTACCTGAGAGTCCCTTGTGAAGGCAGAAGGCCTTAAAAGACCAAGTCCTCCATGTAGGAATGTACTTAAAGGGGATATTATGGTTTGAAGCTTGACGTTGAACAAGCTGAATTTCAAATCAAACACTGTTACAAAAAAAAATTATTGAGGAGTAGGGGAGTGTCTTGTGGCCATAATGGGTTGGGAATAAAGGAGCATGTGAGGCTCAGGGTGGCGCTACTGCCTTTCCCCAACCCTTCCTGTTCCAGGTAGCTACTGTGCCCACTGAGAGCACAGGCAGGAGGCTCCCTGGGTAAATACTGCTTCTAGTTTCAGGAAGCCTACCTGATGGTTTGTGCTGATGTTTCTGGCAATCAGTCAGGGCTGGACCTATTTGGTGGATAGGGCACCAGTGGGCCACTATGTCCTTCTCTCTCTCTACACTTGACTCCTCTTCCCCTTGGAGAGTGTTGAGTGTTCTTCTGCCCAAGGAGAGACTTCAGAGGATTGAGCAGAGGAATGGCAGGTCTTCTTCAAGGCCAGCTTCATCCTTGTTCAAAGGAGCCTATCCCTTCAAACCCCCTTTTCTGAGGTTTCTTGCCTGTGGCCAGTTGACATGGAAGGGGATCCCTGGTTGATAAAGGCTCATGCAGATTGACTGAGGTACTGTCTCTAGTGAGGGCAGTGGAGATCACTTCAGAAGATGCATTAGCCGAAGTGAAGACTACCTAATTTGTATTACTCATACAATTTCATATTGATATAGTTAATCTTTATAAGAGAAAAATAGATTTGAATAACAATATTGTGACAAAAGTAATTCTAGATACTGGCTTTAGGCCTGCCAAGCTGCAGCATGCTCTGTTCTGTCCAGAGTCCTCAAGACATGCATACAGGGGCCAGGAGGTATTCTACCTGCTATTTCCCTCCTTTTTGAGGATTAAAGATTAAGCATCACACAGTATTAACCAACTGGCAGCCATGAGAGAATGGATGAAGAAAAGTCCCTTAGACTGGGAAGAATATGGTTACAAATAAGTCAGAGTGAAAGCCTATGAGAAGAAGGAGTATAAAGGATGGCTTTTAAATACAGATCTACTCTCTGCCAATCACTGAAGATACCAGCATAAGCTGCAGTAATTCCTTATGATAAGCTAAACCAAGGCCCTAGCTGCAGCACCATTGAAAATCATTTGCAATCATCTCCAGGGCTTCTCCTCAAATTTTTGTATATATGAATAACTTTATATTTAACACAACAGCAACAATAATTTTTTTTATTTCTTTAAGAAATATAGGAATTAGGGCTAGGGTTTGGCTCAGTGGTAAAGCGCTCACCTAGCATGTGCGAGGCCCTGGATTTGATCCTTAGCACCACATTAAAATAAAGGTGTTGTGTCCAACTATAACTAAAAAATAAATAATTTTTTAAAATTAAAAAAAAAGAAATACAGGAATTAGAATTTAAAAAAAGATGATGCCTTAGATGTCCTAGGTAAATAAATGTCCTCTCTACAGGAAAGCTCAGCCAGCCAGCTTCTGTGACAGTGGTTTCTTGGCACGAATTTTGGGCCTGGGACAGCCCAAGGTCTTTTCTGTCTCTGATGGAGCATGGCATTTCTTGGGAGCCCCTCTGCCTCTCTGGTTTGGCTTCTGGGCTGGCTTCTCTGCTGGCTTTTCTGCTTTGGCCTTTGGTGGAGTGGCCAAGGGAGCATCTCCATAGAGTCGGTAGCCACCAACCAGGCAGTATGTCTCCCATGCCAGCCCACCTGCGTTTCTCCACATCCTTGGTAGAGGACATGGTGGTATGCAAGTGTAGAAGGAGACATGGGAGGCACTGCTGCTGGAAAGAAAACCAGAACTGATTAATTCCTTCTGCTTTATACACTCTGCCCCCAGGACCTCGCTCTCCTGTTGCTTCCTGTTTCTGACTGAAGCCCTCTTCTCTGCTTGGCATTCAAACACAGCCTTTGCCTGTGACCTCTATGGATGCTTTGCCTGTCTCCTCAAGGGATGCTGTCAAAGTACTTGAGTTCTGTGGAGCCAATGGAAGCAGCAGGAAAACAGTCAAACCTCAAAATATCCCAAAAAGCTGTCCCTCAGTCTCTCCCTTCTATAACTGAAAAAAAAAAATTCTTAAAATCTTTTCTGAAGCTTTAATAGAAATAATTTTCAAGGTTTGGAAAAAATGATCTAATATAAATTGGTTTAGGGGCTGGCATTGTAGCTCAATGGTAGAGTGCTTGCCTAGCATGCGTGAGGCACTGGGTTTGATCCTCAGCACCACACAAAAATAAATAAATAAAAATAAAGGTACTGTGGTCATCTATATCTATAAAAATACTTAAAATGAATAAATACATAGGTTTAGACTCCCAACCTTGACATTTCCTGTTGAGACCCATTTATACAGTATGTTTCAATAATATTGAAATCTAGCCCAGTTTTTATAGATTTTTCCAATGCATTTTTTTTTCTTTTGAGATGTTTTGCTATTTAAACTGCCCTGGTCTTGAGCTCAAGCAATCCTCCTGCCTCAGCCTCCTGAGTAGCTGAGACTATAGCTATACAGCACAGTGCCCAACTCTATAACTTTCTACAGGCTATATCCTGGGGCAGAGGATCAAAAGATTGAGATCCAAATTCTGGGTACCAAGTTTCGGCCCAAATAGCCTTCTCACATCTACTTCCTGAGACATCATTTCCTCAGACCTCCAGTCTCAGTAACACTTCACCTCTCCCCAAAGCCCTTATGTTCTTCCCAGTTGCATGACACTACTCTTTTCCACAGCAGATAAAACTGGGATGTGTGTGGGGCTGGGGATGTGGCTCAAGCCGTAGCGCGCTCGCCTGGCATGTGTGCCGCCCGGGTTCGATCCTCAGCACCACATACCAACTAAGATGTTGTGTCCGCCGAGAACTAAAAAATATATATATATATATTTAAAAAAATTCTCTCTCTCTCTCTCTCTCTCTCCTCTCTCTAAAAAAACAAACAAACAAACAAACAAAAAACTGGGATGTGTGAGGGGGCCATTGTGGGTGTATCCCTGACAGTATGGTAAAGGTGCCTGGGTCTGAAGATGAGGTTCATGAGAGGCTGATAGCTCTTGCTTCAATTGCTCCAGTTAGCATTTGATAACAAAAGCACACTAGGTTTCTGTAAAACTCTTATAAAGGAAGGTCTGGAGAAAGCCTTTTGTTGATCTGTGTCTCACCATGTTACCCAGGTTTTACTATGTCCCCCTCCCAGATACTTGAGTCCAACTCCTGGGCTCAGGTGATCTTCCCACTCAGCCCCCCAAGCAGCTGGGACTATAGGTGTGTACCAGTGTGCTGTGCTCTGAAGGAAGCATGGGGGTGGGGAGGCTAAATGGAAGGCTAGATTGATTAGCACCTATCTGAACACTTGCCCTCAGCAGTCAGCAAAAACACTGTGGGTCCTTGAGGAAGCACCAGACCATTGGTCTTACTCATGGGTAGTGAAGTTCTGAGGTGTGATGGGAAAACCCTAAAGGAAGATGTGGCAGTCAAGTGAGGTTGTATATTTACCAGGGGCTCCATTACAGGTGCCTGGCCTAGGCCTACCTGCTGCTCTGCTCTCCCAGGGGACAGCAGACAAGTTAGACTGAATATAGAATATCCGGTCAGACACATTCTCTGGAGCAACCAGATACTCTGGTGTCCTGTAGAGAACTTGTAGGGAAGTTTTCTATTGTTACCCTGCCATGGAAACTGAGGCTGTGATGTCATCACTACTCAGGAAGGCCATGGAAGGAATGTGTGTCTTTAAGCTTCAGATCCTTGGTATTTTATGGAAAGCAGGGCAAAAAGAAGAGAGCTCTGTCTGGACCCTCCCTTTTGGCCTTCCCCCATATCCTAATCAAATAGCCACTGTCTGTGGAGCACAGCTGGGGGTTGGGTACAGCCCATGACCACAGGGAGCAAGATTCTGAGAAACACAAATTCTGGTCAGACAGTTATGATTAAACAGAGAGCTAGGTTGCATGTTGTATTTACCTGTTGGGAGAAGCAGAGATTTGAATGGATTAGGGGGTCAGAGAATGCTTCTTGGAAGTAGGCCTGAATTTAATGAGTTATACAAGTGGAAAAACATTCCAATTGGGAATAAAACAAAGAAGCCCTTCTTGACCTCATTCTTCCCCAAAGATAAATCCTTTGATGGATTGAAGATGTGGCTCAATGATGTGTTCACCTAACATACATGAATCCCTGGGTTTGATTCCAGGCACCATAAAAAAAGAAAAAAATTCTTTGCACCCTCACCTTTTCACAAATGCGGTCTGAAAAGGAGCCTAAGGACCTAACCCAAGTCCGCAGTGGTGTTTTACTAAATAGTAGAGTTTCATGTTGGAGGTCCACATTTATAACTGGTAAGACAAACCTGTTACATTTCAACAAGATGGACACTGGGAAGGGTATTAAAGGTGATCCAAGGCAAAAAAAGTTTCTACGGTGACTTTTTAAAATAGGAATGACAGGCCTATTTTAGCATAAAATTTGAAACATGTTTAAGACAAAATGACATAATACAAAATTACCACATTATTCTTTCATACTCCTTTCTTCAAAAAAAGGCAAAGAAACCATGTGTGGTCATGCAAGTCTGTAGTCCCAGGACTCAGGAGGCCAATAATTTTTAAGCTATTCTCAGCAAGTAGCAAGACACCGAGGATGTAGCTCAGTGGTAAAGCACCCCTGGGTTCAATCTCAAATGCCACAAATAAGCATTAAAAAAAGGGAGGACAGCTGGGATATAGCCCAAAGGTAGAGTGGCCCTGGGGTGAAACCAAGTACTGGGGAAAAAAAAAAAAAGAAACAATAAGGCTGGGGATGTAGCTCAGTGGTAGAAAGGTTGCTTTCCAAAGCATTGCAAAGAAAGAAAATAAACTCAACAGGTTCTTTGTCCTACATGTGGCAGTTAGGCATATGAATTATCAGAACACAATGAAGTCTGCCCCCAAAATAATTTTTGTTAAGGTGGCCCATAAAAGCATCATTTATTGCTAGAAATCATGACATCACAAAAACTAAAATGCATTTTATTCTTCATATTTTATATGAAAGACTATGTTACTATGGTCCATTGCTCCATTGCTGGCCCGTAGCTTATCTTTCAAAGCTGCAAACAGCTCACCAGGCCTGAGGGGCATTAAGGTCAGCCTAAGTGACAAGTGTGTTCATCCACCCAGGACACCAGGAAAGATCCCTAATCCAGAATCCCATTTTAGTTAGCCAAAATCAAGCTTGCTGAGGCAAAGGCTCTCTCACTGAGGATGCCAGTCCTGGAAGGGTTCTCCTTCTACGAGCTGCCAGTTCAATCTTCTGAACCAGGCTCACATCCCATGGATGGGTCACAAAGCTGATGACTGAGCCTGGCACCTCGCTCCCAACACGGCCTACCCTTCCTGCTCTGTGGATGTAATCTTGCAGGGTGAGGGGAAAATCATAATTGACAACCAGTTCCACATGGGTGCTGTCTAGGCCACGAGAAGCAATGTCTGTGCAAAGCAGTATGTCTTGGGAGCCCTTCTGGAAGCACTGGAAGATACCTGCCCTCATTGAGGCTGGCATTTGCCCCTGAAGCCTTAGGTGTTTGATCTTATGGTCATCCAGAATATATCCCAGCCAGTTCACAGTGCTAGAACTGTTACAGAACACCAGGACTGTTCCTGAGCATCCAGTCTTATCTGTTTTGTCACGCTGCTTGAGGATTTGTACCAACTCTGTCACCTTGTCTGTTCCCTTCAGCCTCATAAATGTTTGTCTGACATGAGGCATAATGCAGTGGAGCTTGGAACTGGTGATGGTGGTGAGAGAGGATGGGCTCCCAACTTTACTCAGCAACTGGCTCACACCTTCAGGAAATGTGGCTCCCACGAGCACTAATTGAGCTTTGGGATTGAAAGGGTCTTGTAAATCAGCTGGGCCTTGGGCTATATGGCTCTTTTCCAAGATGTAGTCCACCAGGTCCTGGAAACTTTCATCCAGCAGTGTGTCTGCTTCATCCAACACCATGAAGGAGAGTTGCTCCAGGGTGATCAGTTGACTCTTCAGGGCCTTCCATAGAGCCCCTGGAGTGGCAACTAGCACATGTGCTGAAGGTTGTTTGGACAGCTGCAGCCTGATTCTACTCATGCCATGACCTCCTCCTAGTTCTTGTACCCGCAGGCCCAAGGAGCGGCCTAGCGATTGGGCCACAGCCTGCACCTGTTCTGCTAATTCTCGGGAAGGCACAAGGACCAGACCTCGAGGAGCAGGTATGCGGTGGGTTTCCAGAGCTGGACGATCAACAAGCCTTTGCAACAGCGGAAGTAGATAGCTCAGAGTCTTGCCACTGCCCGTTTCTGCGGCGCAAAGGAGGTGGTGGCCGTGAAGCAGTGGGGGTATGGTGCGTGACTGCACGGTGGTGGGCCGAACGACTTCGGGAGCAGCGTCGTGCAGTGCGCGCAGCACCCCAGGCTCCAGACCCAGGTCCGCGAAGCTGCCGTCGGACGGCAGGCCCCGCAGCGCTGGCGCTTCCAGTTGTGCGCGCTCGATGGAGAAATAGTCCCGAAGCGCGCGCCGATGCCTCCAGCCACGCGAGGCGAGCGCCGCGCATTCCCAACGGCCCAGTGTGAGGCGCGCTGGCTGGTTTAACTCAGGCCGCCGCGCCGAGACGAGTAGTGGTCCGGGTCTTACTAACAGCGGCCGCTGGGCAGTCCGACGCCCGCTCTGTCGCTGTTCCTGCCGCCGCTGTAAAGCCCGCGGAATGCGCACCACTGTCAGAGGTTCATCCGGACCGCGGGCCGATAGATCCCGGCGGGGCGCCTGCAGCAACCGAGCGGCGAGAGACAACACCAACGTCGGGCGCGCGATAGCCATGTTGCCCTTGTTGTTGGAGAGGCGCACGTCAGTGACGTCACGTATGCGTCGCTTCCTCGCCTACGGTGGCTGGCTCGGCTCAGTAAGGTGCGGAGCTGAAGACGCGTCAGAAAGTGGGGAAGATCCCTACATTTCAGTGACTGCTAGGTCTGTAGATCAGCACCGCGATGGCGACATCCAGACCTTGACCGCCTTTGGGTGGGGAGCGCGGTGGAGGCTGGAGCATAGGCTAGCAATACCTGGCGTCAGTGGGGCCCTGGTCCTATGGACCAGGTGTGCTTCTGGAGATTGGGTGCCCATCCCTTGAGATCTTGTTTGTCGTCCTCATTGCCCCTGTTGATGGTTTGTTCAGTGCCAGGCTCCCCTTGTAAATTCTGAAGGTGAGAGATGCCACGAAGTTTCCACAGATATGGACCCTGCGGAAATACTGGTAATACGTGTATTCCCAGCGTCTGAATGAATGGTAGGCCTGGGGACTGACATGAGGGTGTGGAATTATAAATCTAGGCTCAATTCTGGTTCCATTCTGGCTTAGAACCCGCAGTAGAAGGTTGTGTCCTTCAACTCATTTTTACTCTGAAGTGGGAGGTAAGGTGATAAAGCTTTCAAGTGGTGACATCTCTTCTTTACATTAAAAAAAAAATTATTTTTAAAGCCAAATTTCACTCTCTGCTTCCTTGTCACCATTCCCAGCTTTCCATCCTGAACGCACCACTCTAGCAGCCAGGTGTGCTGGTGTCTTCTGGAGATTGGGTGCCCATCCCTTGAGATCTTGTTTGTCGTCCTCATTGGTAACTCCTCAGATAACATTAAAGATCCAGAAGTCATCAGCTTCATAGGCCTGGTCAGTCAGAATATTTGAATTAAAATCAGATATTTGAGTTGTAAAAGAGAGTTACACTAGTCATACTTCCTGAAAAGTTTTGAAAATGGGGGCCAGATCTTTGTAGTCTGACGTTCTCGGGTGGGGGGTAAGGTAAATGTTTGTGAATTGATTACATGGAAGGTTCTTTTTTTTTTTCCCCCAAATATTTATTTTTTAGTTGTAGTTGGACACAACACCTTTATTTCACTTGTTTATTTTTGTATGTGGTTCTGAGGATCGAACCCAGGGTCTCCCCGTGCCAGGCAAGGGCTCTACCCCTGAGCCACAAACCCAGCCCACATGGGAGGTTCTTAACGTGGAATATGTGGTTTAGTTTCACCACTAGGTGTTGGCCCTTCCTATCTTCAGGTTGCATATCTGTAGATTCAAACAAGTGTGGATTGAAAATATGCTGGAGATAAATGTGACTGAGACTAGTGGGATATCTCAGTTGGTAGCACTCTTGCATAGCAGGAGTCCTTGGATTCAGTCTCTGGCAGTACACACAGACACAGACGAGCACACACACATATACACATGAAAAAGAAAAGAAAAAAAATTTGTCTGTATTGAACATTAAAATAATTTTTCTTTTGGTGGAGAAGCCTTGAACTGAGAAACTCACACATGCTAGGCAAGTGCTGTACTACCACTAAGCTACGTCCTCAGCTCTTTTTAAATTTCAGGTTGAGGGCTGGGGATGTGGCTCAAGCGGTAGCGCGTTCGCCTGGCATGCGTGCGGCCCTGGTTCAATCCTCAGCACCACATACAAATAAAGATGTTGTGTCCGTCGAAAACTAGAAATAAATAAATAAATAAATAAATTCTCTCTTTCTTTAAAAAAAAGAAAATTCAGGTTGAGACAGTATCTAACTAAATTGCCATCTGGCCTTGAACTTGAAGTCCTCTATCAGTCTCCCAAGGAGCTAGGATGATAGGTGTTTGCCTCCAATTTACCTTCTATGCTACTTTTATGATTCTTTCTAAAAACATAGAGCTCTTATCTGAATAGCTCCTTGGATGTCAGACCTGACAAGTTTCCTCCTGTGTCATGTGCCCTTGCACCAAACCAGAACAAATAATTATCAGAAAAGAACAATACATATGTATATATATGCATTAAAATTGTGTTCAATTATTCAGGGCAGGGTTAACTGATTAGGTATGCATCTGCTTTCTCATTATGCTAGAGCCTTTATAATATAATTACCTCAAAATCTTATAGGGGTTAGAGGTTTTAAGGGTCTGTCTCAGCCCATTGTCCCTAATTTCTTGTCCTATCATCAGACACTGCCTAAAGTCTCTCTCTTTTCCTGATGTTCACAGCAGATATTGCATAACCTCTAATTGTTATTGAAACACATGGCTTAAATAGTTACTTCGGAAATAGGAAAGATTTGCTTATTAAAAAAAAAAAGTGAATTCCCAGGAGCAGGAGCTTAGTATGTTTCATGGATCTCAGGTAATAATGATTTAGTCATTCATTTATGTATTGATTTTAGAAATATTTTCTGCTAGGCATGATGGCTCATGTAATCCTGGCAGCTCTGAAGACTGAGGCAGAAGGATCACAAGTTCAAAGCCAGCTTCAGCAACTTACCAAGGCCCTGAGCAACTCAG